CCTTCCGACTCTCAATTCGTGGAAGTGTGCGTTCCTCAAAGGGAAAATGGCGCCCCCCCGGGCATCTGACTGATGCTGGGGGTTTGGCGATCCTGTCGAATCGCGGACTGTGCCTGATGCAACGCATGATGGACCAACACCCTAAAATGCGGGCACATGCCAGATGCGGGGTATCGACTGAATCGACTGGCCAACTGAATCGACTGGTCAAAGGCTACATGTTAACTCCACGAGTCCGTAGCTCTCGGCCGCGGTGTCCCTATCCCAGGTTGCGGAAGAAGGATTCGGGGTCCCGAGCCCCAATCACGTGAGCAGAATAATCCACTGCGAGGGGCAATGGCCGATCCAACTGAATGGACAGGCGGAGGGCTTGATTTGAACTCTTGGAGTCCGTAGCTCTCTGCCTCTGCGCCTCAAAAGCCAATCCCTCGTGTCGGAATCAGGCTTGGGGAACACACGTGTGGAGACCTTTTCAAATACAATTGCTCACTTCATTCGCCATAGATTGACAGTCCGTCCGGTTCCCCCCACGCGATGTTGCATCATGTCCAGGGATTCCCCTGACGGAAGAGCCGCCCGGCAATACACACAGACCTCTCCTTTCCGAGTTTCTCGCTGACATTTGAAAGCACTTGCAGCAAAGTGTCCTGCTGAAGTTCGCAGCACAAGCACTTGTAGTAAAGCGGGCGGCTGAAATTTGCACTTGCAGTAAAGTGTCCTGCTGAAGTTCTCTACATACAGCTCAAAGGATAGGAGGGCAAGGAGGAGGAGGAAAAGAAGGAGAAAGACGAGGAGAAGGAGGAGGGCCAGGAGGAGTAGGAGGTGAGGAAGAGGAGAAGGGAGAGAGAGGGGAGAGGGAGAGGGAGAGGGACAGAAAGAGGGAGAGGGAGAGGAAGAGGGAGAGTCAGAGGGAGGAAGGATTGGAGGAGGGAGGACGGAGCGAGGAGGGAGGAGGAATGAGAAAGGAGAAAGGAAGGTTGGCTTGGTTGGTTGGTGACCTCCCAGCTAGGTGGCATTTTGGGACTGCGGGCTCAGCCCTTTTAGTGGAGAGCTGCGGGGCCCAAGCCGGCGACCGACAGCAACACCACAAAGTCAACCCAGGGATGGAGGAGACCACTCTCGGGAAGCAGCCCTGGGAGAGAGGGGGAGGGTACGAGGACTTGCGTGCCACCGTGCCCAAACCTCCCTCAGCTCACAGGCTCCCTCTGGGGAGGTGCCACGCCCAAAGCCGGAAGGCAAACGCTAGATTTGGGTCTTCCTGGGGAGGGGGCATCAGCGGCCCTCCAGCAGGGATCCTCGCCCAGTCTCGACTCCATCCTACGCCAGCGCACGACGTAGGTACGGAGCTAGCCGGATGGAGAGAGAGAGGAACAGACCCGGAGGGGAAAGAGTTTTTCCAGAAGAGGGTCGCCTCTTGCTCCAGGAAATCTCCTAGCGACGCTGCCTCGGAGAAGCCTGCATCCCCTGGCGACGTACTCAGCAGGACGCGGGCGCAATCCACCCTAGATTCGGGTTGCGGTCTCCCTCGGGCCTGCCAGAAGGCAGCGCGCAACTGTTGAGTGACCCCGTAGGCGCCCAGGACGTGGAAGGTCGGGCTGTGGACGGCACGCTGGCAGAGAATGCAACATTGTTCCTTAGCCCACGACTGGCACCCCTGAGTGCGAGTGAGCAGGATGAGGCGGCACCGAAGCCGTGGCAGAGGACGTTGACCCCGTAAATCTTCCCATGGCAACGACAACTCCATGGCTCTGCTGAAGTCCATCCGCGGGAACAGAGGGAAAGGCCGCACGTGTTCTTGTAGGCTCTGTTGAAGCCTCCTGCGACAATGAGCCTCCACCAACGACCGGACGCACTCCTTGTACTGCACCCGGGTGCCTGCTCCTGCCGACGCGCACCACCCTGGCCAGTCTGGCAGACTGGAATCGAGAAGAGCCAAGGAGGACCTTGCCCACGTATCGCCTGCGGCAACATGTCCTCTGACGAAGACTATTTTGTACAGATCTTCGTCGGGGAGGAGCCATAACGCTGAACGACGGGATGCTACGTCAAGGACTGCCCTGCCCGCGCCAGAGAGCACCAAGCCCAGCTCCGCGCAGGCAGGAGCGGCGGGAGGACAGGAGGGGCTGCCGAGCAGAGCCCTCGCCCATGACTCATGTATGTCATCGAGCGTCTGGCAGGCACCGGCTGCCACCGCGTAGAGCCAACGTCCGAAACGGAGGGAGGAGTCCACCTTTCCCTCGAACACTCCTGCAACTGCTGCCAAGGGAATGGACCGGCGAGTTCTGCTACCTGCGCTGCCGCTGCCCCCAGGCGCGCCGACAGCACGCGCTCTAGAGCAAGGTCTCCGTGCCACTGGAGCCCCAGCCAGCGGTGCGAAGAGGAGAGCTGTATCAGCACTGGCACTCGCCCCCGCAGCGACAAGCTCAGAGGAGCGACCTCGGCCGCGGCAGTTCTCGCGTGCTCCGCGCCATGGACGACCACGGCTTGCTTGGCAGCTTTCGTGTGCGGCGATGCTTTCTCACGAAACGCCCAATCCGCAAGCAATTGCTGAGCACGCTGGGCGGCGCCCCAGGAAGATGCTAGAAGCACGGGGTCGTCCGCGTGTAGAATCGCGGCGAGGCGCCTGGGCGCGATGAGATCCAAGGCAGAAAGAGCCGAAGCTTCAAGGTCTTCGTCAGCCCCGAGGGCAGAGGGGTGAGGAAGCAGGGAGCCAGAGCGCAGTGCCTTCAGCAGCTCCCCGATGCGGGATTGGAGGAAGGATTGGAGGGAGGAGGGATTGGCGGAAGGATTGGAGCGAGGAGGGATTGGAGGAGTGCCTTCAGCAGTCAGAGGGAGGAAGGATTGGAGGAGGGAGGAGGTAGGAGGGAGCGAGGAGGGAGGAGGAATGAGAAAGGAGAAAGGAAGGGAGTGCGGGAGGGAGGGAGGAGGAGGAGGAGGTGGAGGCCTGAGTCTGAAGGCTTCAGCGTCTCGCCCCCCCCCCCCCGGGCTGGATGTTCCTCCCGAGGCGTTCTGTGAACTGGCTGGGCGTTGCTTCATAGGGGGGGCCATTCCGATAGACGGGGGGAGAACCGTGCACCTTTTCGTGCCCCTTCGGAGCCCCCAGGGGGGCCCCTTCGGGGCCCCTCTAGGGCACAAGAGGTGCTCCTTTTTTCACTCCCCCCCCCATGTATCGCCCCCACCCCCCGCTACGCAACGCCTCCGGGAACCAGAGAGGCCCAGAGATCCAGGGGGCGCCTGCGACGAGGCCAATCCCCAGGGCCCACCTGGGCGGAAGCGGGCGCCACGACAAGGATCCCAGGGGGGTCCCGAGACCGTGTGGTGGCAGGCCGTGCGGGAACCTCGAAATCCACAGGCACTTCGCCGCCCCGTCTTGGGACCCTGGAGGCCCCACTCGCCCGAGACATCCTCGGAGAACGGCCCAAGTCCCCAGGACTTCCGTGGCAACTCGTGGGAGCATCCCATACCATCTTGTTGGCTCTGGCGGATCGACGCTACTCGACGCTAGTCGACGCTGGTCGATGACAATCGACGCTAAATCGACGCTGGATCTGCGATGTCTCACCGATTACCAGACGCTAATCGACGCAAGTGCACTCCAGCAACATAATCATGGAGTACACTAGGCTGCTATGATTTGCTATTGAACAAAGCCGTGCGGTCACCCCGAACACCTACGGCAGGTTCGTGTGGTGTCGACCCCGGCGGCAATTTTCTGATACCGCGTGGATCGTTCCACCTTGAAAGACCGGGCGTTTCCGCAACGTCAGCTCGGTCAATGTCCACCGATTCTGGGTCGCAGGCGGCGTTCAAAGCTGAACGCAGGCGGCGGGGTCGCCGCGGGTCGGCACGACGCGAACCTACCGTACTGACTTCACCACACGTTGCGGCCACCGCACCGTTTCCAAGGGCTCCCAGCTTCGCGCTTCGCGCTCCGCGAAGCGCGAAGCGCGAATAACTTCGCGCTCTCGCGCCGCCCTCCCAAAGGGAGAATAGGAGGACGAGGAGGAGGGGGAGGAGGAAGGAGGACGGCGAAGCGCGAAGCGCGAATAACTTCGCGCCCTCGAGGGAGCCCTTGGTTTCGGGGTGCCACCGAGGATCGCGGAAGGGAAGCGCACGCCCACCATTATCCACGGCCCCGCGGCCCAGGCTCCTATCGCCCGCCGCCCCGCGCGGGGATCGCACGCGAGAGGCATCGCAGCCTCGGCCGTCCAGGCCGTGACTGCACGGACACGTTCGTCGACCGCGGTGCAGAGGCCCGTCGGTCGGACTTCTCGGGTCGGCGCGGGCTTCCTGGGCCGTCGGCGACGCGCCAGAAGTGTCCCTGGGCAAGAGTGGCCTGTGGCGCGCGGCTTTGAAGGTGGGGGGGGGGGCGCGGGGGAGGGAAAGGGGGCGGGGGGGGGGGGGGGGGGGCAAACCCGAGCGCGGAGGCTGCTGCCATCACATCTCGTGCAACGATCGGGGCACCCCAGTAGGCCCGCACCGAAGGTCACTCTGACTCTGGCGAAGGGGCACCCTTCAGAAGTCGGCGCTGGACTCTCTCTCTCTCTTCCACTGGCGCGCGGGGGGTCCAGCGCCGACGCGAACCGACGCTAATCGGCGCTAAATCGACGCCAATCGACGCGAAATCGGCGACTCCCCATCGATTAACCGACGCTAGCCCAAGCTAATGCACTCCAGAGACGGAATCACGAGGACGAACGAGGCTCACATGACTTGCGACCGAAATAGAAGGCCCAGGAGGCCAAAATCCACAAAAGAACACCGGAATGAAAACAACATCAGACCGTCGGAGATTTTTAGACGCTCGGTCTGGGGACCTTCCTGGAGCCGCTCGCTCCACTCATGCAGCGATGCTGCGTCGAGCGTCTGTCGACTTCAGTCGAACTTGAGCCGAACTAGAGTCGAACTAGAGTCGAGCTAGGGTCGAACCAGAGTCGAACGGATCCGTTCGGTGAGCCCTAGGAAGGTCCCCAAAACGAGCATCGAAAGATCTGGGTGGCCCCCAGGTCCGGGTGCTGCAGGATGCCGTGCTCCCTCGCCCACGCCACGTGCTCGAAGCAGCCGTCGCCCGCCGCGGCGTCGCCGCAGCCGTCCTGCGATCTGGCCAGGAGCCCAGGCCGTAGCCCCTGCCCTCCCCTGGAGAAGTGGAGATGAGGACGGGGAGGAGCAGGAGGAGCAGGAGGAGGAGGAGGAGGAGGAGGAGGAGGAGGAGGAGGAGGAGGAGCAGAAGGCGAAGCGTGCCCACAAACATTGCATGCGGTCGGGAACTTTTGCTTAGCGCTTCGCGGCGGCGGCCCCGGCAGCACGCTCCCCTCTGCGAGCGGATAGCGTGTCGCCCCGCACCGCGGGGCGGGAGCAAGAGTCGGGACGTTGGCGCTTAGGGGCCAGGAAGTCGATAGCGTATCGCGCCGAAGCGTGGTGGGCCAGAGTTGGCGGAGCGACACGCTATCCAACCATGGCGGCTCCCCTCTTAGGGTGCACAAATGCTATGCTTGCTGCGTCGCAGTGATCATGAGTCCATGAACGGCGAGGAACTGGGGGGGGCCCAAACCAGCGAACCGCTCGAGGAGTCCCCACAAGCTAGGCGCGAACGGGCAAGTGCGACACACCTTGGCGGCTCCTCCTTGTGCCCCCCCAGTGCTATGCCTGCTGTATGCGGAAGTGGCCATGAGGCTTTCAGAAAGGAGAAAGCGGGGGAAGGCGGGGGCGCCGAACGAGCGAACCGCCCGAGACGTCCCCATAATCCACACCGCCTTGTCGCGGACTGGCAGGTGTCCCCCCACCCCCTGGCGGCTCCACTTCGGGGTGCCCGAGTGCCACGCCGGCTGTGTCGCAGTGATCCCGAGGCTCTCAAGAGAGGAGGGGCCCAACCCACCAAACGAGCAAACCGCCCGAGACGTCCCCAGCATCCGCGCGCGAACGGGCAGGTGTCCCCCACCCTGGCGGGGCGGGAGGCCAACTGCGGCGGGGCGCGTTGACGGAGCGAGCCTCGTGCCCAGAGTACGGGAAGTCAAGGCGGGTAAGCTGCCGCGGGGCACACTCAGGGCGAGCCGCACGACGAGAATGCAGGAGGAGATGGGACGGCCTCGGGCTCGGCAGGTCCGCGGTGACCCCGCTGAATGGCGACATCCAAATCCCACACCCCCGCCAACCATGGATTCTCCTGAATCAATGGGAGGCGGGGGTGGGGTTCGGATTTCGCCATGTGTTCGAAGGTTTCCGAACGCCGCCCATCAAGTTGCTTGACTCGTTGATCGGCGAGGGTAGGGTTCGGATTTCGCAGCCGACCCGCGGGACCTGCAGGAGAAGAAGAGACGGCACACGCACATAAACTTGCGCAGGTCCACACGGACTTTTTGGATCTGCGCTGGACGCACTTCCCTGGCGCGCGAAGCGCGCAAGGGGCGGCGCCTGAGGCGCCGCCGAAGCGCCGCCAGGGGGTGTCCAGAGCAGATCCAAGAAGTCCGCGCGGGCCTTCGGAAGTGTACGTGTCTTTTTGCTTCGAGTCTGACGCGAGAGCCCTGAGGATCAGGACCCGCGGAAACGACAAAACTCACGGGCTGCAGCCTGGGCCGCAGGAGGAGCGGGACCCGCTCGAAAAACAGTTTTATATATATATATATATATATATATAAAAAAAAAAAAAAAAAAAAAAAAAAAAAAAAAAAATAAAAAAAAAAAAAAAAAAAAAAAAAAACTCGGTGAGAGAAGGGGCACTGGAGGAGAGCAGACCGTGTCCATCTGAGTCCTGAGGGCCGCCATCGATCGAGTCCCGATCCACCTCCTCCCGACGGAGACTATCTCTGACAGCTGCGAGCTGGGCCACCGCATCCTCTTGCGATGTTGTTAATTCCCAACCATCATGTGGTGTTGGGACCTCGTTTTGAAGTGACGTCGCCCCGCGTTCCTCTCCTCCTCCTCTCCTCCTCCGCTTCCTCCTCCTCCTCCTCCTCCTCCTCCTCCTCCCCCTTCCTCTCTCCTCCCGTCATCATCATATCATCGTCATCATCATCACCATCAACGCCATCATCATCGTCATCATCATCATCATCCTCATCGCCATCACCATCATCATCACGACCGTCATCATCACCAGCATCATCACCCATGTAGGCACGCCCCTCACACGTTTCGTGGCCCCATAGGGAACTCCACCGAAGGCTCCAGTGCCACCGCCCGCATGCGCCCCACACACCCATTTCGGCACATCCATCACACATTTCGTGGCCCCCTAGGGAGCTCCACCGAAGGCCCCACTGCCACCGCCTGCATGCGTCCCCCACACCCATGTCGGCACACCCCTCACAAATTTCGTGGCCCCATAGGGGGCTCCACCGAAGGCCCCAGTGCCACCGCCCGAATGCGTCCCCCACACACACGTCGGCACACCCCTCACACGATTCGTAGCCCCGTAAGGAGTTTCACCGAAGGCCCCAGTGCCACCGCCCGCATGCGTCCCCCACACCCAGTTCGCCACACCCCTCACAGGTTTCGTGGCCTCACAGGGAATCCCACCGAAGGCCCCAGTGCCGCCGCCCGCATGCGTCCCCCACACCCATTTCGGCACACCCCATCACACGCTTCGTGGCCCCATAAGGAGCCCCACTGAAGGCCCAAATGTTTCCGCCCACATGCGCCCCCCGCACACAATTCGGCACACCCCTTCACACGTTTCGTGGCCCCACAGGGAGCTCCACCGAAGGCCCCAGTGCCACCGCCCGCATGCGTCTCCCGCGACCATTTCGGCTCACCCCTCTCACGTTTCGTGGCCTCACAAGGAGTCCCACCGAAGGCCCCAGTGCCACCGCCCGCATGCGTCCCCCACACCGATTTCGGCACACCCCTCACACGTTTCGCGGGCCCCTGGGGAGCTCCACCGAAGCCCCAGTGCCACCGCCCGCATGCGTCCCCACACCCATTCCGGCACACCCCTCAAACGTTTCGTGGCCCCAGAAGGAGCTCCACCGAAGGCCCCAGTGCCACCGCCTGCATGCGTCCCCCACACCCCTGTCGGCACACCCCATCACACGCTTCCTGGCCACATATGGAGCTCCACCGAAGGCCCCAGTGCCACCGCCCGCATGCGTCCCCCACACACACATTACGGCACACCCCATCACACGCTTCGTGGCCCCATAGGGAGCTCCACCGAAGGCCCCAGTGCCACCGCCCGCACGCGTCCCCCACACCAATTTCGGCACACCCCTCACACGCTTCCTGGCCCCATAAGGAGCTCCACCGAAGGCCCCAGTGCCACCGCCCGCGTGCGTCCTTCACACCCATTTCGGCACACCCCTCACACGCTTCGTGGCCCCATAGGGAGCTCCACCGAAGGGCCCTTTGCCACCCCCCGCGTGCGTCGCCCACACCCAGTTCGGCACACCCCTCACACGCTTCATGGCCCCATAAGGGGCTCCACCGAAGGCCCCCATGCCACCGCCACCAGGCGCCCGCCACACTCAAGGTTTCAGGGAACAGCTCCAGACCTCCGGGGAGAAGGAGGAGGCGGAGGAGGAGGAGGCCCGCCCCCCCCCGCATGCACCGACGCCCAGAAAGCCGAGAGAGACGGGGAAAACAGGAACAGAACAGTGCGCATGGAGAAGTACGCGAGCGCGCCCTTCGTGGACGACCTGAAGCGCCACGACGACAGCCTCACGGGGGACCTCGCGGGCCTGCTGGTGTTCATCGAGCCCCGCACGTCGGAGCCGTTCACCTTCCGCACCTCCAAGGTCACAAATTCGCTGAGCACCCCGCTCACCCGTAGCTGGGTTGCGTCTGCAACCACAGTGTCGGGCGCGCGCCCAAGCCTGCGCCGCGCCGAGAGGGCGCGGGCGCCGCGAGGCCTCGGTGCTGGTCGTAGCACGACCCAGCAACGGGCGAGAAACGGGGCGGGCACGGGCGGGTCCAATCCCGAGCGCGGGGGGACCCCGCAGGTGGCGTCACGGCGCCTGCCACGCGCCATTCGCCCGCCTCGAAGCCTCCCATGCAGCGGGTGCAGCGAGCCTTCTTGCCGCGAGCCGCCTGGGCGCTGACGCACCAACGGGTGGTCCGCCCACCCGTCATGCGGCGCCGCCGCTGTGCTGGCTGGCCCTCGCTGCCCCGCATGCGGACGTCGGTGTTGCCATCCACGGGAATGTCGACTGCGTTCACGTCAGCCGACGCGGGAGCGGCAGCGGAGGCGCACGGGGCGGCCCCAGCACCTCCGCTGCTTCCCGCAGCTGCCAGCACTCCGCCTTCACCTCGGGCCGCCGACGCGTTACTCCCAGCCACTCGAGCCCCTGCACCTGCGTCCGCAGCGCCGCCAGCGGCCGCCGCCATCCCAGGACGTCCCTTCAGGGCAAGGAAGAGTGTTCGTAACAGTGAGGGCGCGAGAAAAGGAAGGGTGGCTGTCACCCGCGGCTTGAGGGCAGCAGTAGCCCCCCCGCCCACAGGCTCCCCAGAGCCTTGGGGGGGTTACTACTACTACTACTACTACTACTACTACTACTACTACTACTACTACTACTACTACTACTACTACAACTACTACTACTACTACTACTACACTACTACTACTACTACTACTACTACTACTACTACTACTACTACTACTACTACTACTACTACTACTACTACTACTACTACTACTACTACTACTACTACTACTACTACTACTACTACTACTACTACTACTACTACTACTACTACTACTACTACTACTACTACTACTTACTACTACTAACTACTACTACTACTACTACTACTACTACTACTACTACTACTAACTACTACTACCACTACCACTACCACTACTACCACTACTACTACTACTACTACTACTACTACTACTACTACTACTACTACTACTACTACTACTACTACTACCATTACTATTACGACTACTACGATTTCGGCCATTACTACTTGTAATACACTACTACGATTACTGCGAGAACTACAGCTACGACTTCTACCACTACTACTATTCCTACTACCACCACTACTGCCAGGTGGCGCTTCTTGGGCTTCGCCCTGTCGCCGCCCGTGGGCTCCCCGTGGTCGCCTCGTACGCTGGCTGGTGCTTCTGGGTTTGGGTTCGGTCGTCGCCCGTGGGCGCCTCGTGAGCGCCTCGTGTGCTGCCCGGCGTCTCTGGATTCACCAGTTGGCCGCACCATAGATGGCGCCGCGTACCTTGCACCCTGTGAGCTGCATGATGTAGATTGCACCAAACGAAACGCGCCACTACTACTCCTACTCCTACTCCTACCCCTACCCCTACTCCTACTCCTACTCCTACTCCTACTCCTACTCCTACTACTACGACTACGACTACGACTACGACTACTACTACTACTCCTACTACTACTACTACTACGACTACTACTACTACTACTACTACTACTACTACTACTACTACTACGACTACTACTACTACTACTACTACTACTACTACTACT